CCGCCACCAGCGGCGCCGTCCTCTGCGCCACCGCCGGCGACGGCGTGCGGGTCACATCCCCCCGCCGCCGCCGCGGCCGCCGCCACGAGTTGCTGCCGTCTCTGTCGTTCTGCAGCCCTCCGCTGCTGCTGTACTTGCTTCTCCCGCTTCCGAAACTGCCCCGATAGAAAAGGTAGGGACGGAGGTGGTGGCGACGTATGAAGATGGCGAACAAGGGCGAAAGATGAAAGTCGGGACAGGAAACCACACGGCACGAAGGGCGAAGAAAAGGTCGTACACCACACACACCCAAAACACGCGACCAACATAGAAGGATACGGAATGGTGGCCCCAGGGATTGGTGTGGGGGGAAGAAAGTTTGTGGTTTGTAGTGCCTACGGGGCGTGTATGGGGCCCGACGCGGAAGGGAGGGACAGGGCTAGAGCCTGTGCTGAAGGGCGCTGTAGCCAAGCGAACATGACCGTGCAGAACTTTCCGAGCAGCCGTCGTTAGGGGGGTGGGGAGAGCGCCACCACCATACACCTGGTACACGCACACACACACACATACACATAATCACACACACAAACCTTCACCTTCACCTCCCCTCCCTTTGCCGCACTTACCTCAGCATCGGCATGGTACTTCTGAACTTGAAGCTTCTCCAGAGCGTCCTGTGAGGAAGTGGAGGAGGAAGAGGAAGTGGAGGAGGAAGTGGAGGAGGAAGTGGAGGAGGAAGAGGAAGTGGAGGAGGAAGAGGAGGAAGAGGAAGTGGAGGAAGAGGAAGTGGAGGAGGAGGAAGTGGAGGAGGAAGAGGAAGTGGAGGAGGAAGAGGAGGAGGAAGTGGAGGAAGAGGAAGTGGAGGAGTAGGAAGGTGAGAACACGCGGGAGACACCGGAAACGGTCAGTCGGTCGGTCTCGGAACCAACGAAACAAACAAACTCCAACGAACAACTCCAGATGCAACTCCCCTCCCTTCGCCCCTCCCCCCAAATTGCCAGAACCCCCGCCTTCCCTCAGCCCGCGGGCCCCTTGGTGACATCAGGCACACAGGCGGGTAAGACTTAGCCATCAGATCTCTGCCACTAACCGAAGTACCTACCTAACCACCGCAGCCACCACTATAACTACCCAACTACCCAACCACCTGTCGGTTGCTGATTTCGGAGCGGGTCCCGTCGCATCCCGCCGCGTCGTTACACAGCGTGGCCAGGAGCCTTAGGTGGAAGTGTGCGGGCTGGGCGTAGAAAGGCGCGTCACGCAGTACGAGAGCGGCCTGAGGCGCCCCGGGGAATAGCGGGTGTGGATGTGGGGCGAGTGGGTGTGGGGGGAAGATTAAGGGAATTAAAGGGCAGCAGCACCACTACCACTACCACTACCACGACGTGCAATATCCAGGAAATTAACATGCGTTGGATCGCTACGCCGGCTGGGTTAAGGGGGGGGACAGGGGAAGACGAACCACGAACGAGTGAAGCTGCTGCCCAGGGTTAAAAGGGGGGGAGGGCGGGAATAAGGAGGTCACCTGCGAGTGGCGTCAGGTGATGTGGATGGAGGGGGCGGGCAGGGGGGCAGTTAGAGGCAGGCAGGCAGGTTAATCCCCCGTTGCCCCAACCCGTTGGACAGCCTGCTCTTACGACACGTGCCGTAATGCCGTACCTTTACGGCCATGGTATCGTCCGGCAGCAGTGCCACCCGCTTGTCCGCCAACTCTTCAGGACTGAGAGTCACGTGGGACCTGTACGGCGGGGTTTGGGGGGTGGGGAGAGGGGAGAAAAAAAGGGGGGAAAAACACACGTGGTTTGAAACTCACTTAAAACCCAAATAACCAATTTCCGACACGTGCCGAAGCCGCAACGGCCAACGTCCAGAGCAATGACGCAGCTGCCGAGAGAAGGGAGGAGAAGAGAAGTGTTAGACAGATCCTCATGGGGGGGTGGGGGTGGGTGGGAAGACGAACCACGAACGAGTAAAGATAATGCCACGAATGGACTGATACGCCAGAATTATGAAAAAAGGAACTAGCCAGTCGCGACTTGCCGCGACTAGTCGCGACACAACGGCCCCACTGGTCCCCACCTGGACAGCAGCAGGTACCTCCTCAGCAGCTCAGGCCAGCAGCCCGGAGCCGACAGCAGCCGGAGCCACCGCTTCAGCCGCCCGGCCAATGCAGGGCCACCCGTGCGGATCTGCGGGTGGGGAAAAGGAGGGAGGTGTGTGGATCGGGGTTGGGGAGCGAGGATGGGGAGCGAGGGTGGGGAGCGAGGATGGGGAGCAAGGATGGTGGGTGGTAGACAGGGTGAAGATTCGGTGTTTGGGGTTCGGTCCGCCTGTGCATGTAGAGTTTATGTAATAGCCCTCGGGACACCGTTCACATAAACATACAGACATATACGCATGCATACAAACATACATACATACGTGCGCACATGATCACCCGAGTAACCGCATCCGTCAGCATTTCACTTCTCACATATAAAACACAAACACAAGGACACCCCCCCTTCCTCTCCCCTTCCCTCCCTCTCCCCTTCCCTCCCTCTCCCCCCCTAGAGCCGAGCTGTCCGAGCCACCATGCAGTTACCCCCCGCATCGTTCTGGATCCCCACAGCAGTCTTTTGAAGTCGAAAGTTGATCATTTGCTTCTTGCACATGAACCCTTCTTCCCCCCTGCTTCTCCTCTCTTCTCCCTCCCGCCCTCTCCCTCTCTGTCTCCTTGTTCCTTTGTCACACACACAATCACTCACCCACTGAGAGATGAGGAACTTCAACAACGTCGTGTATAGCTCCTCAAGCACACCTCCGCTGTCCAGAGGCCAACAGGCGGCATGCTGCAGACACCGCAGCGGTGACGGCGCCGTCGCGCCGCCGCTGGCCATGCCCGCCAGCACAGCCGCGGCGGCGGCGGCCGCCTGCGTGGCGGTGCCGGCGCTAGCGCCCGGTGGCGGCGGCGGCAGCCCCAGCACAGTGGGGGGCACTCCACACAGGCGCCCAAACAGCGACACAAACTCCGACACGGCCAGGGCGTCCATCAACGAAGCAACCGCCTCAGGACCCGTTACAAGGATCTAAACAGGGCGGGCAGGCGGCGGCAGCGGCGGCGGCGGCAGCAGAGCAAGAGCATAAAGACGTGGAGGAGGAGTACAAGGAGAGAGCAACGGCGCCCGGGGGAGGGGAAAAGGCGAACCACGAACGAGTGAAGCTGCTGCCAAGGAAATAGGGGGGGAAAGGTGGGCGGGGTCGTGTGCTGTGAAAGGAAAACAAAAACGTCAGCTGTGCCGACATGTCCTGAGCTGCAGTGGGGATCCAAGGAGATGGTGCGGTGGGGTTGGCGAGGGTGCGGCGGCGGAGCGGAAAGAAAGGGAAGAAGCTCCTGCGGCGTACTTGCAACATCAGGGATTTCTCGACGTTTTTACGATCGGAGACGTGATCAGATTCAAACATCATAGGAGAAGGAGGAGGAGGCAGAGGGAAACGGCAAACCATCCGTTTCAACACAACACAACACAACACACACTCATACAGGATTTAACGGAGGTGTTTTTTTTGCTAGACTGGCGACTATGAGAAGAAAAGAAACCGAAAAACAAACCGAAGCCGGGGAGGACGACACAAAAGAAGGGGCCCGGCAGAAGCAGAAAAAAGAAGACGCGGCGGCAGAGGCGGCAGCAGCCATCCCCAACCATCTTCCCGTGTACCCCCCTTCCTAGTGAACAGGCGCCCTGGACTTCCACTTTCCCGCTCACTCTGCAGGTGGGAGGGCCCCGGATGGCCAATGCCAGCCGCTGACGCCTCTCCTTCGCCTCCGCCAACATCTCCACAGCCGTCTTGAGGCGGTGTCGTCCCCCGCCGCCAGCTCCCAGACCCCAACCGCTGCTGACACCGGAGGGGCCGGACGGCCCTCCGGGCGACATCCCGCCGCCGCTAGGGATAATGGCGGCGGCGCCCACGGGGGTTACTGCCGCGGACGCCGCTGCCGCCGCCGCCGCTGAAGCTGTGGCCATCAGAGGCGGCGGCGTTGGCGTTGGCGTTGGAAAGGCCGCCACCGGCGGAACGGCACCGACGAAACCTAACGGAACGCCAAACGTCGCCGTCAGCGCGCCTGGTGGCTGTACTTGCTGTTGCTGTTGCTGTTGCTGTAGTTGTTGTTGTTGTTGTTGTTGAAGGTGCTGTTGCTGCTGTTGCAGGGCAGCTTTTTCTGTGAGCTCCTCAATAAGCACTTCCAGACGAGCCGCCTGTGGGGCATGTGTGTGTTTGCGCGGGGGGTGAGAGGGATGTCATACGATGGTAATAATGATGATGGTAATGATGATAGTAAATGATGGCTATGAGATGATGATGATGAGGAGGATGATGATGATGGTGATGATGACGGTAATGGTGATGATAATGAAAATGATGATGATGATGATGACGACGGTAATGGTGATGATAATGATGATGCAAAAAACAAAGGATCAACAGCTGCCCACACGCCCAAAGCCCAGGGGGGGGGTAAGGGAGAACAGAAGGAGAGGAAGCCGCGGTCTGGTGGTGCGGTGCTGGTTCTGTGGGACGTTTTTTTTGGGAAGTGGGGGCGACTGAAAGACTTGAAAACGTGTGCGGGATGTACGAGTCCACCAGAACCCTTTCCATCCCTAACGCCACAATCCCTGGAGCATGATGAAAACGCATGGATCGATTCAACACGCAACATAACTTTTCAAACATTCCCTTCCTAGGGAGGGATCAGAACCATTCCCTTCCGTAAACGCCACACCTGCCACAACTCCAACCGGGCCGGTCATTTCTGAGCCTGGGCCTTGCTCCTACGAGGCAATGCCGACGCTGTTTTCGCCTTCCAAAAACCCTTTGAACCACCGCTCCCCACCACAATCGCCACCATGTCGCCATCATGACCAAACGCTGGGCCCCAGATCTCCCTCCCTCCCTTCCCCACCTCCTCTAAATCATCGTCCACCACATCCAGGTCGTCGAGACCGCGAGCCCGCCAACGCAGCCGCTCGCGCTCCTGCGAGACAGACCCATGGGTCACTTGGTCAATTAGTGGAATGAACTAAAGTAGGCCAGACCTATATGTAAGGTAGGCTGTCATATGCCAGCGAAAGGGTTAGACCATACAACTTGGGGTCAGAACTAGTTGATCAACGTAATATGCTCAGGTGGACAGACCCGTGGGTCATTCACTCGCTCTGTCGGTACAGCCCAGGGGCGAGACACACACATATACACACATACACGCTCAAGTTCCACCGCAGACTGGAACATGGTCGGTACTTAGGACAATCGGTTCAGCTTCATGGTGCAGCTGTGCATCAAATCAGCACATTACACAAGTCCTCTAAAACCCCTCGTTATTATAGCGCAACAACGCCAGGGTCCCATCCATCCATCCATCCGCACACACACGCACCCTCTCCGCCCGTGCCTCAGCCCGTAGCCGCTCCCGTTCCTCCCGCTCCGCCGCCCGTTGCGCCGCCCGAGCAGCCAGGTAAGCCGCCTTGTCTGCGGGGTCAGCCCACCGCATGTTGCGACGAAGGGCGCCGAGGGCCTCCGCGCCTAGGCCAGCACCGCCAGCGGCGGCGGCGCCGCCGCCGCCGGCGGCCGCGGCGCCGCTTAGGCCCAGCGCCGATTGCGGCGGCGGGACACACAACGCCCCGGCAGCGCCTCCGTTGGTCCCGGAAAGCTCTAATCGCTCGGCACATCTGCATGGCAGGACCGGAATAAAAACATGAAACTCCCTTCGCCGAATTTTTGAATTTGAATTTCAGCAAAGTGGGGTTCCCTCCCCCCCCTAAATCATCACCCCAATTCCCCTTCCGCCTGCTTTCCCCTTCCACGGGTCCCCTGACAGATCTTTGCCTCGTACCTCGGGCAAGCCCAGTCCAGCAACCGTAGCTCCTCGTACTCCTGTACATATAGCATGGTACGAATACAACACCGACAGCGCGTACGAATATAATGTCTGGGGAAAGGAAAAACGTCCAGCTAGGAATACTGGCGCCGTCGTGTGCTAAGTCTTCGTTGCTTTGTTGATTTGCTGCAACTCTATTGCTGCAACTCTATTGCCAAATTAATACTTATACATAAACCTCATCCGAGCCCGAATGCTATTACCTGCTCCGATTTATATTCTTTCGTGCTTTTACCGGTGTGGCCAATAATCTATCAATATCATGGACAATAGCACAACTTGCATAAGCTCATGGTGCAGGAATTGCCACGCACCCCGCCCGGGGGCCCCCTCCTGCTCTGCAGTCGCTATGGCCCCTCAGCCCCTTCCGCTGCTCTCCTCCCGAGAAGATTACGAGCCTGATAGTTTAGAACTGCTGCTCTCCTCCCGGGAATCTCCTCCCTCCCCGCGTCCCCTCACTCCACGCTACGGCCCTTCCCTTCCCTACCCCCCCCAACACCCCCCCCAAACCCACCATCTCCAGACACGTCAGGTGGTAGGCCCTGGGGCAGTAGTCGCAGAGGCACAGGGGGGAGAGCTCCTCATGGTACGTCTTGTGACACACGCTGCACAGCGAGTTGTTGCGCAGGAAGGGCTCCTGCCGCCGCAGCGGTAGCTGCTCGAATCGGGGGTCGGGGGGGGCTGGCAGGACCAGGACAAGGGCAGGGACAGCGGCGGGGACAGCGGCGTGGCGTACAGGAGGGAAGGGTTTGGTAATCCGGGAGTCAAAGTCCACAAAATGGGTTTCATGTCAAGGAGGGTGGGGATACCGCTTCAGGGCTCAGTGACAAGCCCGAACCAGGTGGCGCCAAGTCTGATGTCGAGCTGCTGATGTGCGCTTAATAACAAGGGTGGCCATGACAAAAGGCCACCCAACAAAAGGCCCCACGAGCCCACTTCCTAACATTACATCGGATGCGGAATACATGTGCAAGAGGCGCTAACCGCCCGCACCACCAATGGCGCCCGAAACGCTGTCGGCGTTCAGCTCAGTGTACTTCAAACTTGACTTGTAGGGGTCGAATGGGTTCCTAGCGAAATTTAATGATATGGGTCTCGGGCTCTGGTACTGAGTATTCCCTGCAGGAGTGCAAGGTACCTGGCAAGCTGTGGATATCAGAGGCGGATGCCAAGAACGCCAATTTTTTGCCACGGCCCCGTCCGCCTGCCGTACTAGGTTCCGGAGCTGTCCAGCCGCCGCTGCCGCCAGCCGCGCCACCCACAGGAGGTGAAGGTGAAGCAGCAGCAGCAGCAGCAGCAGCCGCAGGAGCAGCAGCAGCGGCGCCGCCGCCGCGACCCCGTCCTCGCCCGCGGCCACGCCCGCGCCCCGTCGCCTGAGCGGCGCCGCCGCCGTGCTGCGACGCGGTTGCTGCTGCCGCAGCGGCGGCGGTCGCACTAGGGTCAAGCAGTACGGTACCACCAGCTCCAAGCGGAAATCCAGCTGCCGCCAACGCTGCCGCTGCCGTCGCCCCGCCCGTACCCGCCCCGGCCAGTAGCTGAGCACCTTGCGCTAGGAGCGCCTGCGCCGCCGCTGAACCTGGCCCCGGCCCGGCCCCAGACGCGGCGGCAGCTCGAACAGCCAGTGCGGCTGCCGTCGCCGGATCAAATCCTGCCGCACGCAACTGCTGCTGTAGCAGCAGCGCCGCAGCGGCTGCCGCAGCAGTGGCAGCGTTTGGGGTCGCCGCCGGAAGAGCCGCCGCCACCGTGCCGCCACCGCTGCCGGCGGCATCCATACCAGCAGCCGGGCCGCCATTGGAGGCAGCGGCGGCGGCGCAGCCGCCGCCGTCTGAAGCCCTGTGCGAGTCCGCTGCCGATGACGTTGGCTTGACGTACACCTCAGCAATCCTGCCGCCGCCGCCGCCGCCGCCACCGATGCCATCCACGTTGGCCATTTCGGCGTCGTTAAACCGGCCAGAACAGTGTGCTGCTGCTGCTGCAGCCGCTGCTGCCATGGATGACGAAGACGGCTTTAGCTGCTGTTGCTGCTGCTTCTGGCGCACAAACAATTGGTGCTCCCGAATAGCCGCCTCCGCGCATCCGCGAACATATTGATTGTACGACTGGCGGCTTCCGTACCAGTAGTTCCCGCCAAATTGCTGCTTGGCCTTTTCCGGATCGATGTGAGCGGTGAGCTTCGCTATGACCTGAGGCAGGCGTCGCGGCAGACCAGGTCGCATTACGGGTAATAAAACACACACACGCGGATTACAGGGGCCCCGTCCAGAATTCCTAAACCCAAAATGTCGTGCCTCATGTCGCGAAAAACCCAAACCGCTTTTCCCCACGATGGCCGCTTTTTAGCACCATTTCATCGACTCAGTAACACACACAACATGCACACGCAACGTGTCGGAGCCATATAGCCTCATGCGTCCAATGCTGCAGCAACCCCCCTAACCCCCTAACTCCCCCCACCCACTGATCCACAACCGTCTCGCTTCCTTTCCTCACAACGCCCATCTCCCCCGGCCCCCTAGCGTAGTGAATCTCCCAGAGCTTCCCTAGCCTCTCAGTCTTCTCCCTCTATAGCTCGATGACATCCGGGCAATAATAATGACCACGAGACCCCGCATCCCGCACATACTCACTGTCACACACACACTCACACCAACCGCAACCCACCTCCCGCACGTCGACGTTCTGCACCCGCAACAGCTCCCGCAACTGGTCTGGCGCCATGGCCGCCAGCGCCCCAAGGTTCTGCGCTAGCTGCACATCCCGCAGAGACCTGGGGCAGGACGGCAGGGCGGGAGGCAGGACTTAACAGGACACCTCATCATAGAGCCGTAGCCAGAGGCCAGAAGTCACAGCGGCAGAAACAGCCTAAGAATCGTAGCCACAGTAGAGGCATCAGCATCAGCATCAGCAGCAGAAGCGGGAGGTAAGGTCACCACAGTGCTATGAAGGGAAGGGAATCCAATCCCCGAGGGAGATGATGGCCACCACGGTAAAGTGAAGCGACAAAGGGGCAACGTATCGTAATGTGAAGAGCTCAGGCTGATGGCCATGTGGGTGAAAGCGGATTTGGAAATGGTGGGTATGCTGAGCTGCTCAATGGGTAAGCCACAGCAGCAGCCGAGTTGATGTAGCCAGCAGCAGCTAGGCAACACCCCTAGCTTAAAGCCCAGCTGATGGATTGATTGATTGACTGGTTGACTGTCTGCCCAAATGTGAAACCCTAAAGATTGAATGAACACCGACAGGAACATGAAAAGGGTGGCGCGGCCCTGAGCTCGGGGATCACGCTCGGGGCGTTGCTGCCTCCAACATGCCGTACCTTATTGATCTTTGCAGGATGTCGGCATGGTGCATGGCCGCCGCCGCCGCCGCGGCTGCGCCGGAGCCGTCCTCCCCCGCCGCCGCCCCCCCCGGCCTCGCCGCCAGGAGCTCCAGCCGATCGAAAAACGCCGGCAGGCTCCTGAGCTGCTCCGCCGCCGGACCCAGTTGGTACTCGGGCAGCGTCGACGTCAGCTGTACGGCAGTGAGCACCAACGACCGTGTTGTAGCGTCGTCGTCGTCCTCGCCAGCGACGCCTGCGCCGCCGCCGCCCGCACTCGCGGCGGCCGCCGGCTGTGGCGGCGACGCTGCCGCTGCAGCGACAGTACCCCTAGCGCCGGCGCCTGGCGACGTTTGTAGCTGGTACTGTTGCTGGGATTGGCTCGCAACCAACGTGGCCTGCCCACCGCTGCCGCTGCTCATGCTGGGCCCCATGTAGTGCTGTTGTTGTTGTTGCTGCCTCTGCTGTTGCTGCTGAATATGAAGGATTTGCTGCATCAGAACTCCAGAAGGTCGAGAGGGTCCGTCACCACTGCCGCTGCCGCCGGCGGCGGCGGCAGAATGCTGGAGCTGCAAAACAAGCGGCGATGGCGTCGTCGCCGCCGCCGCCGCGGCACCGTACGACGTCGGCGAGTGGCTGCACTGGAGCTCAAGCGGCGGCATTACCCCGCCCCGATGGACGCCAGCCGCCACCGCCGCGCTGCCATCCAGGTGCAAAGTGATCCCTTGTGCACCCTGGACCAATAGGGCCCGCTGGAAGCAAGTTCAAATAGACGGTACGGCAGCATTGGGGTCAATGGTACGGCCCCAAAGCACAAAAAAATAACCGAGCGAGTAGGAAATCTGGGACAAATGAAGCCCTACTGATGCAGAGACAAGGATTTACATTTTGCCCTTATTTCTTTTTGAGGACAATGAAAACGTCACGTTCCTTGCGGTAATAATAGGTACTGTGCAGCGTGTACTCTTTGAAGATTTAGGACAATTATAATATCCGTACGGCATCCTAAAGGTGCGCTGAGCCGTCTGTGTTTCGGGGCTGGTTGCGACGAGGTGACGCGGAAAGAGGCAATCATCAATCGTTTTGGCTGAGCATCGGCATACAGGCTTTTTGGGAGGCCATAGATATCCAGCCAGGGCATGGACCCATGCAGGGAAGTGGGCAAATAACGTGCACCATGCATCAGAATGTTGCATACACATCGATCGTGTGGCTGGAGAATGGTGCCGGGCGTGAAGCATTTTCAAATTATTAGAAGGATCACCCGTTCCGCACAAGTGCGGAGGACGTCCGTAAAAGCCTGGGGCGGGGCATGAACGGAGGCGGGTACCTGGCGGGTAATAGCCGTGCCGCTAATAGTCCTCTCGTTCAGCCTTCCGATCCTGTTACCAAGTATAGTTTCGAAAATGTTTACCTTCTAAAATGATATCTAAAATTGCTACGTCGGTTAGGTGACGCGGCTGCGAGTTCAAGGAGTACTGTACACGTCGGGGTTTGGCCAGGGGAAAGGCGGAAAAGTAGGGATGTAGGAATGCAGGATGCAGACGACGTCCACTATGGAGTAAGGACGCACAGTTTGGCACACATTTGTCGTTGGACTGACTAGCCAGCAAGCGCTTGCAGGCGGGAAGGAAAGGGCACTGGTACATAGCCTGTAGAAAGGGCACGCCGACCCGACCTTCCGAAGTCCCCCAGCATGAGGCCGCAAGAACGCTTGCAAAAGCCCAACCAACACTGACTTTTTTTGACATTTTTCATGGGGTGAGGATTTACTTGGTAAAGAAAATCATGAAGCCGCTGGCGGCACGGGGAACGCGTTTTGGCGATGCCCGTTCTAACTACCGCGCGAGCTTACCGGTTGTGAAGCTGCCAGTCTACTGGGTTCCATCAAGCTGAAATCCTCATCGGAGGCCATTACTAGCCTCCACTCGCGCCAGGGTCAAGGCCGCCTCGTGGAAACGCTGGCCTGCGAGGTGGTTCCCGGCCCGTGGGCTACAATTAAACCTGGTTTAGTTGTTCGAAAGGGTGCCATTCCAGCCCGTCTGGTCATCGTCCACTGACACAAGGTTCTCTGAGACTCTCTGTGCCATGGCGTGTTCCGCGCCTTGTCGCCAACCGAACAGAAGTAGTTTGGAAGTTAAAAACGTGCCTGTCAGCTCTGCCAACCAGCAAGTCCTGCGGACGGCCCCTGGATGTCGTGGTTGATAATGGCCTTGCGTAGTGCTGCTAGTCAGCAGTCACGCTTTACTAGATATGGAGCAATCCTATGTGTTTCGTCAATCATTTTAAAAATTTCCATACTCCTTCTGCAGGCCGAAAAGTTATCCTATGATTCGGGGCCGGCGCGGCATTGTTCCGCCTCCGCCCAAACCAATACGGCGTTGTACGAGCAAAGGTTTGCTTTTGACGATGCCTTACAGCCGCTGCCTCATGCCTACAGTTCATTTGCATTTGAATACATGCTTTAGCTGCTGTTTTGCGTGTGTTTACAGTGCTGCACTACAGTTTGTTTGCAATGTATACCGACGTCGGTCGGGCAATACGGAGCAACCCGCCTTAAGGCACAATAAATCAGGTCTAGGTCTAACTTATGTGGTATATATCTCTGTTACTTCTGGTGACGTCGCAATAAACTCAGATGGCTCTATCGAAGCGCGTTGGCGTGCACCGTGTGGCGTGACTTTATTTCCAATGGAAACTGCTTCGTAGGTGGTTTTGCAAAACCAGAGCCAGAGAATAATACATATTGTGCTCGGTGCGGAAGGCCAGCCTTTGGATGTGTGAGCGTACATAGTCCCTAAATTTCCACGTCCCCTCTGGTGCATATCCTGGCTCTCAGCAAGCTTCTCAAGCACAATCCCTGGCATTTGCAAGGACGACGCGAAAGGCGCACATACACGTCTAGGCTTCCCTTAGTTTCGGAGCACTGAAGCGGGGAACACTCCCGCGTCCCTTCAGCGCATTCCACACCCCTTGCCTTGCTCCTTGGACTCTTTTTACTGCCGCTCGCTTGCCCAAGGCAGCATTCTTTCACCAGTTGCCAATCCCTGCTATGACCACGCATGAAGTCCCTGCTGCGACCGACCCATGAATCCCAGCCCCACTCCAACGCCCCTGCACCATGACCTGTAACGTTAGGGCCGTATGGTTGCTTCAAAGCGTTGCGATAGCCGACAGCGCTGATGGGCGACGCTTGTATAGCTGCAGGCTCCAGACCTGGGAAATAAAGTGGGAAATGATGTTCGGGAGGTTGTATGTTTAGCCCTTGTGCTGAAGACGATTCCAGCACTTGGGCACGCGTCCTGGCACCAGATCTCCTGTCTCTTGGCACCGTAGACACTAGCAAAATCACCTGTCATACGATTGTTACCGTGATGTCTAATCAACTTCGCCAGTTGATAGCTTGAGCCTTTAGAGATAAGAAAGAATGCTTCCGTCGGAGGTGACATAACTGGTGTGGCGCGGATGTGCAGTTACGTGACACATGGGAGCGGGCAGCGGCGTGCGGGGGTTAAAACCCATGCCGGACAAAAACGATGAGGGATATACAGTCCAAGACAGTTCCAAATGGTCATTAACATATTTAAAAACGAGAAGATAATCCATCTGGATAGTGAAAAGCTTCCTTTACAGTGAGCATCCACGAAAATGGCCAGCGACGATGAGGATCAAAACATGAAGGACCTCTTTGGTAGCGATGACGATGAGGAGGACGAGGATTTTGGAAAGGGCAGTTTGCGCGAGGCCTCACGGAAGGGGGACGACATTGAGGACGGTGGCGAAGACGCTGAGCCAGTTCCTGAGGACGAGCTTGAAGATGACCTCGACGATGGCACAGCTCAAGCTACGGGACGACAATTACCTGCCTCTGAAGAACCCGAGGAGCAAGCTAACGAAGACGACCGTGACCGCTGGGACCGCAGACGTAAATTTGCACCAGGTCACCGTCCGCTAGCGCGCACTGGTGCTCCCATTGACTATGCAGCTCCACTTCTATCGGTCCCTCCGCCACAAGGCGATGTCTACCTTCTCCGCGAGGCGCTCATTGGCGTGGAACCCACGCCTTTCAGCCCGGAAACGTTTGCGGGCGAGGAGGAAATCTTTGTAGACGAGAAGGGCATCATGAAAATTAAACCGGTGGACCGGACAAAAATCAGGTGGCGTTACGTCACACGTCAAGGCCCCGACGGGTCAGAAGAGCTAGTGCCGGAGAGCAATGCGCGCTTCGTCCGCTGGTCGGACGGCAGCCTACAGCTGCTGCTGGGGGACGAAGTCTTTGATGTTGTTACAGCCGATATTTCTCAGCAGCGGGCTTACATGGTAGCTTACAGCGGAGTGGTGCAGGTGCGTGCTTGTTAAGTCCTAGTTAAGGGGATAAGAATGCAAGAGATGCAGCCCGCAGATCCACATCCCCTTAATACATTGCAGAAGCATGGTATTATCATTCAGGACCCGGCGGGCTTACTCTCTCGGACCCTGGCTATCCATCCCATCCTTCCCACCCCAGGGTCAAGCCGCCCTGACACACAAGATGGGTTTCCGACTAGCCACCTTGAACAGCAAGCTGTACGCACGCATGAGGGAGGAGGTCGACAAGCGGACTGTCAAGGTGCGGATGGGACTGGGGTAGCCCCCGACGTGGGTTGCAGGTGCAGGGGGAGTCGAAGGAGCTGTGTCCCGCAGTGGCCGAGTGCCGGGTTTTTTCGGAGCCGAGCAGCTGGAGGGGCTCTGCCTGAGCGACCCAGATGGGGATGAATGACACCAGGGGAAAAGACGTGCGGGGGGGCCTGAGATGGGTGGTGTGGGGGGCCCCAGCAGTAACTTAGCCACACGGGGGGAAGGAAGGAGAAACCCAAGCTCTGGTCTTGCATGGATATGTGCAATAGCTGGCCCGCCAGCCGAATAGCGGTGAAAATCTCCAGTCAGGAGCTGTCGCTGAGTCCACTATAGCCAGCCAGCGCATGTACTCAAGAAAAAACAGTAGCCTGTGTTCTTCTTCCTTCAGCGACAGTCCGTGACAGGGGATTTTCGCCGTTTTTCGGCTGTTTGTGTGTGTGTTCCCTAAGTGTTGGAACTTGCTGCTGAGATTTTTATGTTGATCTACCTAGCTCGGGTACGGACTACTGGATCCTTCTCTCCTCTTTCCGGGCCCACCATTATCTCTCTCTTTCCCTCTCTTTCCCTCTCTCATTCTGTGTATCTCTCTCTCATTCTATCTCTTGCTTTTCCTCTGGCTGGGACCCAAAAAATAGCTCACGCCACGGCGTTATGCGCATAACGCGGTGCACGCCCAGCCCGCGTTGACCAGGCTACCTCTGCCGCATCAGCAAAGTCCGAAGGAAGCAGAGCCTTGGAAAGTGTGTTAAGCTAGTTGTTCGATGATGATCCAAGTGAGCAGCGGATCGAAGTCGGGTAGATGAAATTCGAGTTGACCCATTTTTCCTTTTCTCTGTGTGATTCGCACCCATGGACTCTCCCTGGGCTCCTACCTCGCTCTGTGGCTCAGGACCATGAACCCCTATCCTAGGACGTCGGCGCGCTTGGTCCTTTGCTTCTTTCTTCTTCATGACTGGTCCCCTCGCCTTTGAAACGCAGTTGAAACGCGTCCAGCAGCACGTGGAGGCTTTCGACCCGAGTAAGGAGAAGGAGCGGCGAGCCAAGGAAACCGAGGAGCTGCTCCGAAACCGGTGGGCAGGAAATGGCCTTCTCGAGTAATTTAAGGCAGAGCGTGTGCGTGCTATGGGGCGAAGGAGAGGTGATGGTGGCGGTGGTGGTGATGGTGATCCTGCAGGCCACTTAATACTCCTCTTTCGAACAAGTCGCGACTGGTCGGTTAGTCACTTCTTGCATACTTGTCACCGTCTTGCCTAGACTGCTTGCCTATGTTTTTTGGTCCCATGGATTGCGGCAGTCTGTGGCCAATGCCTGAGTCGTTAAGCTCTGCCGTTTAGCTGTTGCGAGATCCGCAAGTTTTACCACATCGCTCGCTGCTGTTAGGTCGCGTTTTGCGCAGAACACGGACACGGTAGACACACGCACACGGGGTAAACACACACACACACAGACAGACAGAGGCACGCGCAGTCGTTTTCCTGTTTCGGCCACTGCAGGGTGGCCGTGGCACCCTACGGCCCCACCTACGGCCCCACCTACGGCCCCACCACATTCCACTGTTTGCATTTTAACTTACATGTCATTCCTGCCTTCCCGGGCCCTCTCCCCGCACATCTACACTATTGTAATTTACGGGAACGTGAAAGCCTTTTTTGAATTTGTTCTCAACCCCTTCCCTCCTTTGCTTTCCCGCGCTCCGCACATAGGGCCCAACTGGAGGCCCGGCAGCAACGCACCATGGCGCGGTACTCTGGGGCGGGCGGGGGGGGACGCTCCCGCGGCCGGCCGCAGCTCAACACCAGGTTCCTGGAGGAAGACGACGGCATCGAGGTGAGGAGGAATATATATCATTAATTTTCATGAAAGCAATTCCGGGGAAAGGAGAGTAGTAGGGAGTAAGGATTAGGTTAGGCGGGGTTGGGCCGCAGCGGGGGGGGGGGGGAAGATACAGAGAACATGTGGATGTAGCGCTCTCAGCGGCACGGACCTGATAGATGCATGGCTGTTTTTCTTCTGCTTCAACGGAGCCATGAAGAGCAACCGGACTCGGACTCGGACTTCGAACAAGGAGAGTGGAGAATGAGAGTAGCGGCTGGGTTTCCTCCTCCGTGGGGGGTTATCGTAACCCCCACACCCCCGTAACCCTCGCCCCGGGGGCATCGCGTCATCCTTTGCGATATGCGTTATGCGGATGGAGCAGCTGGGCGGTGACGAGGCTTTCATTGACGACGGCGACGACGACGGCGGCGCGTACTCCCGGCGGCGGCGGATGAACGACGATGATGAGGTACGTGTGCGAGGGTAAATGTGCGAGGGTAAATCAACCTTGTGGGTTGTGTGCGTGCGGGGGGAAGGTGCGAGCCAAGAGGGGGTTGGATGGGGCGCTGGGTGCGCAGGCGGGACACGTTCCCGGGGGGGGGGGGAAGCGAACCATGGAACCATCTTCTGGCGGAAGGGGAAACTTGTCGGGTCGGAGTCCTGCCAGTGCCACAGCACCAGACACCCGGGGACACCGGGGTTGCTTTGGACGTCACCAGCGCCAACACTATCGTCATTCATCACCTCTATCGTCACCACTGTCGTCATTCATCACCACTATCGTCACCACTATCGCCTTTCATCACCACTATCGTCACCACTATCGCCATTCATCATCACTATCGCCATTTATCACCACTATCGTCACCACTATCGCCATTCATCACCACTATCGCCATTTATCACCACTATCGTCACCACTATCGCCATTCATCACCACTATCGTCACCACTATCGCCATTCATCACCACTATCGTCACCACTATCGTCATTCATCACCACTATCGTCACCACTATCGCCATTCATCACCACTATCGCCATTCATCCACTATCGCCATTCATCACCACTATCGTCACTATCGCCATTCATCACCACTATCGTCACCACTATCGCCATTCATCACCACTATCGCCATTTATCACCACTATCGTCACCACTATCGCCATTCATCACCACTATCGCCATTCATCACCACTATCGTCGCCACTATCGCCATTCATCACCACTATCGTCACCACTATCGCCATTCATCACCACTATCGCCATTCATCACCACTATCGCACCATTCATCACCATTTATCACCACTATCGTCACCACTCATCACCACTATCGTCACCACTATCGCCATTCATCACCACTATCGCCATGTCATCACCACTATCGCCATTCATCACCACTATCGTCGCCACTATCGCCATTCATCACCACTATCGTCACCACTATCACCATTCATCACCACTATCGCCATTCATCACCACTATCGCCATTCATCACCACTATCGTCACCACTATCGCCATTCATCACCACTATCGTCACCACTATCGCCATTCATCACCACTATCGTCACTATCGTCATTCAACACCACTATCGTCACCACTATCGCCATTCATCATCACTATCGCCATTTATCACCACTATCGTCGCCACTATCGCCATTCATCACCACTATCGTCACCACTATCGCCATTCATCACCACTATCGTCACTATCGTCATTCAACACCACTATCGTCACCACTATCGCCATTCATCATCACTATCGCCATTTATCACCACTATCGTCGCCACTATCGCCATTTATCACCACTATCGTCACCACTATCGCCATTTATCACCACTATCGCCATTCATCACCACTATCGTCACCACTATCGCCATTCATCACCACTATCGTCACCACTATCGCCATTCATCACCACTATCGTCACCACTATCGTCATTCATCACCACTATCGTCCCCGCCATCATTATGTGGTTTTTTTTGAGACTCGCATGTTTGTGTGTGGCGCTCTCTTCCGATGGCTGCATTGCGTCTGCGCAGGAGGCGGCAGCCCGGCGGCTTCAGAGCGCCAAGCGGGGGGCGGACGGCGGGTCGGCGCAGGGCCGACGACGAGGAAGGGCGCAGGTACGCGAGGGAACGGAGGTGTTGCACAGGGAGGGGGGGGTCGGGAAGAAGCAGGGTGATGGGGGGGCACGTGCCGGCGGTGGAAAAAGGCCCCCAATGCGGGGTTGGGTGGGTGAGTGGGAAATAGGGCTCCTGATGCTAGGCCCTTTGTAGTTTGTAGAAGGGAGGGCGGATGGATGAGTGGGTGGTAATGAGTGGTAGGTGAAAATGCGTGCTTTGAGTGCATGGCCCGGGGCGTGGCGACGGCGGCGGGTTGTGGGCCTTTGTGGGATCTTGGAGCTTGTGGAGTATGTCCCCGCCCTACATCGGCCAAATGTTGCTGCTAAATGGTCCAACTGTGACACAGGACTTGAGGATTTAATGGACAGTCGCACCCGTGTCTTCTTCTTCATGTGCTTTGCGTGTCGATGTGTCCGACGGCGCACCTGAGCAACCATGCCTGACCAACCAGGACCGACCCATGGTTCAGTGACCCAACTTTGCACCTCGCCGCGTTCTCATGCTCTTGTTCCTGTCTGGTGCTGCAGAAGGAGGAGAGTGAGGAAGAGGAGCTGGACGAGGAAGAGGAGGAGGAGGAGGTGCGTGACTGCGTGTGCCACGTGCTTGAGGGAGTGGAGGGCGGTTGGGGAGTGTTGGGGGGGAAAGACGACTCACGAACAAATGAAGCTGCTGCCAGGGCAAGAGTGTACCAGAAGTAGGACTGACCAAAAGGCGTTCTTGAAGACGGCGACCTCGGGATGATGTAGTGAAGATGATATCGGACAACTACCTACCTAGCCGCCAAGGTTAAAAAACGTTCGGAAGAGACGCAGTAATGCCAAGCCCTAAAGAATTAGAGGTAGGTGTAGAGGCGGGGGAAAAGTAGTGAAAAACTGCTGACGTGAAGCTGGAATAAAGTTTGCCGCTGGCCTGGCGGCGGCATTGACGAGGTTGTACCGAAACTGGCTGATGAGCTGGTAATAAATAAAAAGCTGGTGGTGTGCAAGTGCTCCTCCCATCCCCCCAAAACGCGCGACCCACCCGACCGACCCGACCGACCCGACTATCCTAGCCTGGCTATCCGACCGACGCAACGCGATATACCGACAAAGCTCGAGCCTCCTTTGGACTCACCTGGCCAGGCAGCAGAAGTAGCGGCAAGGGTACATGCGAAGCAGAAGGGTAGCAAGGTTGTGTAACGGGGGGACTGAAAGCGGGAAACCATGTGTAAGATATAAAGAATTAACACGGTGGACATTGAAAAGGGGAAGGGCTGGAAGCGCGAAGTCGAGAGGCGGCCAGATGGGGACAAGAGGACAGCCGGGCCGCGCACCGGGGACTCTGCCTTTCGCCTTTCGCCGCCGCCGCCGCCGCTGCTGCTGCTTCAGTGGCGTTGGGGTTGGCGGCCCTTTGGGTAGCTACTTTTGGGGTTCTCAGCAGCAGTGGGACCTCTTCACCGCACCCCTTCCTTCCGGCGTCGTTTCTTTCCCACGTTGACCTGTATGCATGCTTTCCTGTATGCGGTATTGGCTGGCGCATCTGCCGTTCGCGCCCCGCTATGTTGCTGCTGCCCTTGCTCAAGTTGCCGCTGCTCTCTTCTGACCCTGTCGTTGACTCTGCTGGTGCTGCCCCTGCCGCTTACCGTGGCTTGCCGTGACACTTTTTAGGAGTATGTGGACAGCGAAGGCGGCAGTGAAGACGAGGAGGACGGGGGGGAGGAGGAGGACGGGGAGGAGGAGGAGAAGGAGGCGCCGGCTAGGCGGGTAAGCAGGGCGAGAGAGGCGTACGGGGATCGGTGCGACTTTGCTGTGGCGTTGTCGTCTGTGCGCTATGGGTGTCTGGCGGGTTGCCAACTGATGTGGTGTGTGCGTGTGCGTGTGTGTGTGTAGGGGGGGGGAATTGCGCTGTGACGGTGGTGGAGGTGAAAGGGGGAAAGGGACTTTCGATTGCGCGAGGGTTATGTCGTTGCTAGAATACCGACCAAGAGAGGTTTCGGAGCAGTACTGTTGCTGACCTCGGGTCCGGGAGTTTGTGTAGAAGGGAAGGCGGTGATGCTTTATTTGGAAGTACAAAGAACTGGGATAGCGGATTCGTGGGGGCAGGTTGGGGAAGGACCACCTCCACCACCTCGTGGAGATTCCTGTTGTTGTCCCGCAACGCTGGTCGACTGCGAAACGTCCTAAACTGGAAACAAGGGACTGTTCCAAAGGGGTGCAAACGTACGGCAGCGGTTGGTTGGGGCTGGCATTTGAACGGCCGGCCGCTGAGCCATCGGGTTTTGTGCGAATGGTGGGGGTATTGGCAGATGAGATGAGCGACCGCCGATTTAAAACCACGATGGGGGAGGGTGCTGCTCTGTGGGGCTGAGCTGGGTGGGGTGATTCTTGGGAGGTGTCGGTGTCGGGACAACGTCCTGAGTCACAAGCGTGGTCCTTGGATGCCGCCGGCGTGTTATGGGAAGAAAGGATGGTGCTTGAGGGCATCTTGGCAAGCAGGAGATGCGCCGCACGTGCCCCCGAACTGTCGTCCGACTGATTCCTCTTTGCGGGAGCTGTGTCTTTGACGTCTGTCGCTAACGAGATTGAGGAGCGTCTTTGTTCTGTTTCCTCTTGCTGACTGTTTCCCCTTTGATGATTGTTCCTGTGGCTTTGCAACGCAGTCCAAGACGCCGCCCAAGGCGGGAAGAGGCACGCCGCCGCCGCCACGCAGCAGGCCTTCGTTGCCTACGCGAGAAGCTCGGCCTCCTGCTGCTAAAGTTCGGCGCGGAGTGGTGCTGTCCGATGACGAGGATGATTAGGATACTTCCTGGATTGTTTTTGCAATGCAGTGTTAACCTTCGGATGGTCGGTAGGGTTCCGTCCACGAATGACCGGCCCTATTTGCCTTTTGCTAGCAGGAGGCGATTTCCTTGATGGTGAAGTATTTTGAAAATCTGTTAGCAATAAGTAAATAGGGCCGGTCATTCGTGAACAGCACCGTAGGCGTCATGAACCCCTGGTTGACGCAAGGAGTTTCGCAGCGACGATGTTAATTGCAGGTTATGCGCAATACCGGTAATTGAATTTGAGGTAGGGGAAGTGGATTGTTGGTAGCTGTGAATTTGAAGTAAAGGAGGAATGGTCGTCCATGGACTGGACTGCCGTGTATGCTTTCTCCGTTGCGTGTCACAGCTAAATGCAAAAAAAGGATTATCTCCATGGTTAATGGTTCACAAGGCGTCCCATGCGGCGGCACGAAGCACAATCGGCATCTTAAAGCCCAGACCGTGCAGGCAGAGGAAATGGTTTCGTCCTTATTCTCTAACGATAAAGATAATATTGCATGCTCTAAGCTCTGAGGCTGTTATGCGCGAAGCCACAGTTTTTTAGTGCAATTCAAATTGTTGCATCTGGAATTTATCCAAGCACCGGCCATAATAGAAACAAGCTACACTAGCAAGGCCTTGAGAAAAATAGTCGTGTAGACCAGAAGACGGAAAGGGATTGCGCTGAGTTGCTGTACCTCGACGCTTTACCTTCGCAGTCAATGCGGAATAGTTCAACAGCGTGAGCAATTGCGAGCTCGACACCTTTTTCGAGCCCAGAATAAATACCTCAATCTGGGACAGTGCGATCGGAGGCTTGTAAGATGGACTGTCCGACGTAGCGACGTTTGCTAACAAACGCCTACGGCGTACGTGCCGTATTTCGGCCACCATAGAAAACCTTGCTGGGATACCCACTTCGACATTACACATGTTTCAGATTGCACACAGAAGATATTTTGTGAGCATATGTGGCTTGGGCCTCGCGCATTTGGCACAGCCAGGCAAAGTTCCTGTTTGCAGTGCGGGGAGACATTTCCCAATGCCTACATCTGGTCATAGCAGCCTCATGTTTGATTGTGAGGTAAATCGACATGAGCGTCCATCGCGTAAGTGCCACGTCCTCAGCCCAGCGTTTCAAAACCACCTTTCAGGTCACCCTTCCTGTTGATCATGGGGAGAAATCTGTAACCATTGATGGCGCTCATGATGCTCAACACCTTGGGCAACGGCTGGAGGTGTTGTGCAGGCCATCGTGTCCCTTCGCAAGAGAGGCAAGTTTCGGTTGAGAGCTCGGGGCCGGCTTGCGGCACATGAATATGCGCCGGCTCGGATTTAAGAAATGAATAAAGGATTCTATTCTGTATTTGAAGTATTTTTTGTGCTTGTTGGTCAGGAGCTGTGAGAAGGTCCTCGTCCAGTCATGTTAAGAGCGTTCCCTGCTGTTTGTCACCCTTGCAGCTTTGCTGCATTGTCCAGAGGATTTTGCTCACTAGCGGTAATGAAGGCTGCCAAGATGCTCGCTTTATTGCGCGTTGTCTAGCTTCGCTGGGTTACCTCGTCTCCATGCGTTCAGCGTTAGCTGGTACTGGAGCCGACTGTTTCAAGTAAGGGAGCTGATAACTTATTACTAGAATGGATTTGCATGCTGAGATTGCACCCAGGACCGGTGCAGAACTTTGGATGACCGAATGGTCGTCGGCACCTCTGACCTAAGACTGGTATCCGTCCCAGAACAGTGCGAATTGTTTTTTCATCTCATTGTTTTGCGATAATTTTTACTGAGGACCGTTTCGGAGGCTCCCTATCACATGACTGGCAGACGATTCGGTCACCCTGTCTCCTGTGGCTCATACCCTTCACTTGTGACCTGAAAGGCTTTTTAGACCATGTTATTCCATATCAAAGTGTCCAAGTTATCCAAACTACCCACCGCGCTTTTCACGCGTCTCGCCCAGGTCCCTCCGCCACGAGTTTCTCGTCGTTCGCGGCCCTGGCGGCATGGAATTCATCGTGGAGCCCTCCCTGCGGCCGCACTTCTCCATCACGTACCCCTCACCCGAATACGACTACGTGTTGAGCCGTACACCCGACGTGTTCGTGGGGGGTAGCTGCCGTCTGGTGCCGGTGGTGCAGCTGCTGTGTGCGCTCATGGCCGACTCCTTCCAGCGACAGGGCCTGCACTTGCCGCCGTGGCGCACGAAAACGGCAATGATGAGCAAGTGGATGCCTCAGCCACACCGCACTCGGGACACCCCCGTCCTGCCGCCTCCCAGCACCGCTGGCGCCACTGCCTCTGCACCCTCACCCTTTCCGTCGTCGGGCGACATGACGGTGCGACAGACGAACGCCATTGCCGAGATGGAGGCGGCGGCGCTATCCCGCGGTTATATTTTACCGGCTCCGCCACACCATTGCGCCGCGCACGCGGGGGTCTTTGACTTGGCCGCCATTGCTCGGCAGGTCTTCCGTACGGACAGCAGCGACGAAAGCACTGGCAGCAGCGGCGGTTTCGTTGGCCACATCCCGCTAGGCCATAGTCCGGTTTCCGTACTGCGATTGCTGGCGGCGACGGGCGATATTCGGGACGGGGCGTCCGCCGCCGGCGGCCACGGCGGCCGCGGCGGTAGCAGGGCACTGCCCGCTGCCCCTGCAGCCGCGGGGGGCCCTATGGAGGTACTTGCAGTGCAGCGCGGCTTTGAGCCCGTAGCGCAGGCCATGGCAAACACCGCAACGCACGCGGAGCCGGCGGCGGCCGCAGCTGCGGCCGAGGTGACTGCCTTCGCCCCCTCTGAATGCCGTACTGCTGAGTCGGCTGTCGCTGCCGACATGGCAGAGCTTGCCGTCACGACCTCGGTGCCGCCGGTGGGCTTCGCAACGTTAAGCCAGTTGGAAGGTGGCCAGGGTATCAGCCAGGACATGAACAGTATGGTCGTCAGCGATTGCGTCGTCGTCGGCGGCGGCGGTGGCGGCAGCGGCACCTGCAGCACTGTTAGCGGCGGCGAGGGCGGTGCGGAGTGCAGCAGCGTAAGCAAGGCTGGACTGCTATCGGTCCAGATTCAAGAGCAGCAGCGGCAGCAGCAGCAGCAGCAGCAGCAGTCCTCTTCCACCGCTGCCGCTGCCGCTGCTGGGGATACTAGCGCCCGCATACGGACGAGGCCGCCGATGCACCGTGGTGAGATGGCTATACGAGTGGTCAAGCCCATGGGATCCGCTGTTGCAGCCGTTGATCCACTCAGTGTGCGGCATCAGCGCCCGCCACGGCCGCAGCACCACCACCACCACCAGCACCAGCGTCAAAGGGCATCATCGCAGCTGTCGGCAGGCGATGCGGCGACGCTGTCGCCGCCGCGGCCGCCGAGCGGTGGGTTTCCCGGGAGTCGTGATTGTGCCCAGCTGGCGTGGACGACTCGGCAGCGAGCCGCTTAGAGGAATGGAAGGCGACGGAATAGGAAGGAGGTGAAGGTAACAGAGGTGAAGGAAGGAGGTGAAGGAAGGAGGTGAAAGGAGGAGGGGAAGGTAATAGAGGGGAGAGGGGAGAGGAAACATGCTACAAGGATGGCGACGATGAGGAGAGTGAAAGATGATCGGCGATGGCCATCTGGGAGTGCTGTGTGCGGAAGCGAGATAGAGGTGTCGAGAGAAGGTGCTCGTTGAGCCATGAAGCCAAGAGAAACTTTTAGAAATAGCAAAAAAGCAGTTAACAGGTGAGATGCTAGGACGCGCAAAACATCCAGCATTCAACTCGGACCCATGGGTCATACATCGGCATATGCCCTCTGTTGTTGAAGTTGTGCCGGGAAGGAGTGTTGTAGAGGGCTTGAATGATCTGAGCCGCGAGGAGGAACAGTAGTTGTACATGAATCGTCCGGAAGGATGTATGAAAAAGCACACAGCGCTGCTTACGATGTAGTAAAAGCACGGTAGAATGGTAGTTGGGGAAATTATGCAGAGCTGAGGCCCTGCTTTTCCTGTTTTTTTTTGGTTGTTGCCGGGCTCATGGCTAAATTGCGTTTTAAGTATGTTTTCTTTTCCCGCCCTCGGGTTTTTCTTGCTGAAGACAATTTTTTACTTGGCATCCTCGTAACATTAATGAAGTTGATGGACGAAAAAGGTCCGAACAGATTAAAACTTTTCAGACCCAATGGTCGCACATCGCGAGTTTTGGTCGTGTCGGCTAATACGTCGTCGTTGAAGGTAGTATGGTCAAAATAATAATAACAGTGCAGGACTGACAATTTTCGCGCGATTCGCTTCCGTTCCGTCCGTTTTGTCTGTGGTGGGCTCCCACAGTATTGAGGTTTTATCTCTTTATTTTCTTGAGATGACCGTAAAAAAATTATAAAAAATGCTTTTAGGTCGGGAGCTATAGCGGTTAGGTTAGGTCGATTCGGGAGGTAGGAGTATTGTGGTTTTACACGTTGGCGGTTGCTCGGAATCAACAAGGTTCAGGCTCGGAGTCAATAAGGTGCAGATGTCTTCTTCCAAAGTGGCGGTTTTGTAGTTGGCCGTTGGCGTTGTCGTCCTCTAGGTTCCCCTTGATCATCGGTCGTCAGGCAGCTAACGTTTTGCACGCGCGTTGCAAAGAGCACCGGGGGGGGGGATGCAGCTCGACGGCGGGTTCCTGGGCGGCTTCGTGGGCTGCAGCTCTCTTTGACACGTCGAACAGAGAGTCGAAGTGAGACCATTGGTGGCTCTGGTGGTGGGTGGCTCTGGTGGTCGTGCTGCTACTGTGTTACGACAGCTGCAATCGCTTTCACCGTAGCTCCCTCCACTGGCGCCTGCGCCTGGACATCGGGGAGGACATTTTTTGCATGGCGTTGCTGTGCATGACCATGATTGTCGATAGTGAGCTAAATGTGCGGAACTTTTGGGCGGTTGCCGTTCGAGGCATTGAGGGGCGTATGCTCGGGCTCAGGATCGTTTGAGAGGTGGCGAGGCCGTGCGGGGGTGGGAGGCTCTGTTGCTGTGGAGGGGCTTTCTTTCAACTAGCAGATGCACATGCAGACGTACACACACAATATTGTGTGCAGAGACGCGGACGCATCGAGATGCTCACGGCCGCAGGGGTGGATGATCGGCGCTCCTGGGGTGGTGGGGCTCGCAACCTTGCTCGCTCGTCTAGATCGGTTTGGTTTGTGTTCCCTCGCTTATTCGCGCTGACAGCTGGAGAGGTGCCGTACCATCGTACAGTTCCGTACACCGTAGACCGTACCCATTTCGCGACCTGGATTGGCCTGGTAGGATGGTGAGCATGGCAGTTTTGTGTTGTTGTTGTTGTTGCCTTCTGATGCCTGTCTGTTGTTCATTGTTCGCGGCCGGGCCACGTGTTGGTAGTGCGGTGTATTTCATCGTTACCGTACCCTCTGTGTGTGTGCGTTGAAGATTGGGGTTCGCACATGCGAGAGCGCAAGCGGGACGCTGTGGAGGCGATCCGGCCAGATGCTGTGGTGGCGCTGTTTTTTGGTGCCGGAGTGCACCGGCCGCGGTCGTGGTGGTCCTGGTGGTGCAGACGTCAATGCCGCTGTTCAGATGCTGATGATGGTCTGCTTTCCTCATATCTTTCTTTTCTGTGCTGTTCATGATGATGATGATGATGACGATAATGATGGTGATAATGATAATGGTTATGGTGGTGAAGGTCCACCGCATTTCTTTCTCTGTTGGAGGGAGTTGTGGATATGGCCATGCAATCTCGTCAAGATTTGGTGTACGGTGCGGCATGTTTGGCGGTCTTGAGCGTTTGACCGGCTTGTCTTATGAATTTTTTAAACATCTTGGCGAGTAGCGTTGTTGGACGCCAGCAGGTTTTGTCGTTGTTTCGAGTCGCGGGCTTTGCGGTTTAACCCCGTTTGTTAAAGCCGCGTCCACAGCCGCGTTTGTCTCCGCTTAGCGGTGGACCCCCTAAACTCATTTCCCCTAAATTTTGGCTGCAGAATGGCAGAGTGGACTGCCAACTACCCACCTACCTAATATCATCAATTGCCGTACGATTGACCGATACGCGAATCCCCGTGCTGAAGGATTGAGGTGGATTGGGGGCATGTACGGCATGTACGGCATTTCCTCCTAGATGGGGGACTGCGAGGTGCGGCTGAGAGCGCGAGTGCGGGATCTCCATGCGTCGGGCTCGTTCCTTGTCTATTGCTGTACGGCGTTCGTTTTACGGCGTAAATAATCAAGGACGTAGTTTAGAGACAGTTAGGTTTAGCTGTTAGGCCTCGCCTAATGAGGCACAGCAACGCGGGTAGCTTGGTGATTTCGGTAGGATGCTTCGCTAGGCGTTAGAAGTAAGGTTATTAACACCCCCGCGGCTGTCGTAACTCGCTGCCTAGTTTTCTGGCGACAGCCCATATTTGTTGTTGGTGTCATCCCGTTGGGGCAACTCACAACTACTCGGTCGCCGTGTCGTTGATTGACTACATTCGGATCAGCGCTGCCGGCTAATAGAAACGTGATTTCGATGGGAACAACATTTGCGTTTATGCGTGCAAAAAAAATCCGCTTCGGTGCAATCGGTCAGGTCGGTCGTTGTTGGTTTAAGCGGTTGGAGGGTCAGGAGCCGGCGGTGTTAGAAGAAATGCAAAACGAGCAAAAGGGAAAGGAGGCGCCTGAGGAGTTAAGAGGAGAGGTAGGAGGTGCGTGGTGGTCACGAACGGTCACTTCACCTGCGGTGACGCTGTGCGATGTTAGGGCAGGATGAGGCGGCTGCGTGTAGTGGAGATATGGTGGTTTCCTTCATAACCGGGAATGGCGGAATTGACTTCTGTAAGGCGTGCAATTCAGGCGTTTTTGGTTTTTGGAGATTGGTGTGGTTGACAGTTGGCAGGGCTTTTCTTCGGGCGCCTCGCACAAAAGCGGTGCGCTGTAAAGGTCTGCCTGGAAGTAAGGCATGTGTGGAACGGAAAAAGAAACGAAGAAAAGAAAAGTTTGCAGCGTCCGCAGTTTTTCGGCCCAAATTTGTCTTCTGAGTCGCCTATGTAGCCTAGCCTCACCTAGCCTCGAAGGTGCGGGGGGAGAAACGCACAATTTCGTCTGTTTTGACTTTACTTTTTTTTATCAGCCGCGCTCATACCGTCCATGAAACGCAGCTGTGACGCGCGGCACTCCCAGAGATAGAGATATCATCACGGTCGTCCGCTGTTGGTGGTCTCACCGCTGAGATCTGCCTTTTTTGTCGCCGTTTTGCCGTTGCTGCAGAAAGAAAATGCTGACAGGCTGTGCACAGGTGTGCTCCTGCTGTCTGCTGCTCTTTGTTGTGCGCGCAAAAAAAATGTCTATTCTTTATGGTGGTGGTGGTGTCGCCGTATGGCGCTGCTGTCGCGTGCTGCTGCTGCTGCTGCCGCCGGAATTCGCCGGTTGTGTTGCCCTCTGTTTTGTGTTTGGTTTGTGTTTGTGTTCACGGTTTAGGGATTTTAGCGGGCGAGCAGTTATAATTATCTTCCTTTGCCCGCCTGAAAAGCTCAGACAGACATGATGAGGGTTGGCTGGCGGACTAGGGTTTTCAGGTTTGGCTGTCGTTATTGGTTGTGTGGTCTCACAGAATGATGGTGGTGGTGTGGTAATCGTATCATGGAAAACCACGAAATCCTGCTGGGGTGGTGGAGGTGAGGTGAGAAAGAGGGGAGATGTAGTAACTGGTCTTGCTGAAAAAGGCCTCTCGAGATGCTGGTGGACGCGCTAAGCTTAGCGCGTATTTTTTGTAGTTAAGTTATGTGTGCCGTACAGTGTACCAGCTACTACAGGAGAGGGCCACCTGGAAACAAAAGACCACTTGGGCACTGCCCTCATGGCACCTCGGATCATTCAAAAAACAGAAACGCATTCGTCGGTGTGATGTCGATGTGTCAAAGAGAAGCATGACGGACGTGTATGTGCGGGTATGTATATCCGTGCATGCGTACCTTTTTGTCAACCCAGCCCTATAGAATCCGTTGATCCGAGTAGATGTGGGCTGTTGTTGCTGGTATTATGCTGCTGCTGCTTCTGCTGCCGCTGCATGCTACTGCTATTGCTGCTGCAATATCGCTGTCACATCGTTTTCAGCGTCCTCACGTCCATTTTACCGTCTTTCTTCTCTTATTAGTCCACATTCCTGTGTGAATATTGCGTACTCAGTTTTGGCGGCTGGTCGCCTGAGTTCCGTAAAGCGATAAAGTGGTCGTCTTACGTTCGGCAATCGTTCAGTTGACGAAGTGAGATGACAGTCTCGTTTGTATACGTCGGGATATTTTAATTTTGCGGATTATCCCTTTCGTGTGTGAGCGATTACTACATTGCGAGAGAGTGCTTGACTATCGCCATGTGTGGATTAAGTGTCGTTGTCGGTACTCGGGGATTACCCCCGGAGGGACTTATGTGACCGATTGCTTGATTTCGGTATTTA